TGACACTTCCCTGCTCCAGGCCTGGGTTGAGTCCTTGTGCTTCCAGCTCCAGAGGTCTCCCAGGACATGTGTATATTCCTTTATAAATCAATGGAGGTGTTCTCTCTGTCTTGGGAATGAACCCTTTGGAGTTAATGGATAACCAGGAAGGGATTGATCCACCCGGGTCTCCTGCCAGGAGGAGATAACAGAGGGAGCTCTGCTTCCGCCTCCAGCAGGGTGGGAGCTTCCCTGGGGGTTGGAAAGGATTTCCCAAAGAATCTGTGGCTGCTTCATCCCTGGAAATGTCAAGTCCAGGTTGGACAAAGCTTGGAGCATCCTGGGATAGTGGCAGGTGTCCCTGCCTGTGGCAGTGGATGGAATGGGATAAGCTTTGAGGTCCCTTCCCACCCAAACCATCTGGGATTTGGGGAATTTGTGCCTGGATTGGGATGGTTTGTGAGTAGGAGATTCCAAGTATTCCAGCATCTCCAACAGTGACACAGCAGCTTCTTTGGGACTTGGTCCCAGCAGGAGAAATGGTCTCATATCCATTGGGTATCCCTGGATCCATGATCCCTGCTCAGCTGAGCCTCATGTGAACCAGATCGATGATTCTGGCGCCCTTCCAGAGACTGAGGTGTCCGTGCTCAGAGCTGGTGGAAAAAGGTTAAAAATAGACTCCAAATCCTTCCAGTCATACCTGGGAATCTCAGCTGGAGGTTGGGATTTGGGGGAGGGATGGGGCAAGGGAGGGGGAAATTCCTGAGTTATTGTTTTGTTGGAAACTGGACTTTGAAATTCGGCGCCGGAGGGAGCCCCGGCCACACCTTCCATGAGTAATATCCCGAGTAATATCCCTGCACCCCTTCCTGGCTCGTGCTCCTGGCAAGCCACGTGGGACAGGGAGAGCAAGGTTTGCAGGGAGCACGACCTGGAGGGGATTGGGAAGGGGGAGAAATATGGGAAATGTGGAGGGCAGGAGAAAGGAAAACCAATGAGGGACTGGGTTTGGATCCACTGGAGCTGCTTCCCTATGGATCAAAAGCAAGACCTTTGATTTTTGGGATTTAGAGCTCTCTAGGATCCTCTGGGGATCACACAAGTCCATCCCCAGCTCACTGCAGGAAGGGAACTGGACCATCCCATATGGATGAGGTTGGCTCCATCCCTTGGTGTGTTTTTCCAGTGGGTCTTTTCCCTTTAATCAGGTCTGGGAAGGGAAAGAGCAGAATTCCTTGGGAGAGTGGGAGCTGAGCAGGACTGAGAGGCAGGAGGAAAACTCCAGTGAGAAGGACATGGATCATCCACACCTTGATTTAGGCACCAGGGAAGGAGGAAAGATGGGAAGGAGCAAAGATTCCTAGGGATATGTCCAGAGGAGGGTGTTCTGGAAATGGCAGCCACTGGGTGAGGGCAGAACCCTGAAATCTGAGGATGTGAATCCTTCATGAGCCATTCCCAAAGGGATTTTCCTGTCTGGTAAGGGGTGTGTGGCACTTGGGAGGGAAGCATCCTATTTTTATTGTAAATGAGTTGCTCCACAGGATTTTACACTTTAGGATGGGGAATCCCAGGCCAAGTCCAGAGGGATCCAAATCCAGGCTCAGGATCCTTTCCCAAATCTTTTGATCCTCCTTGGACCCGGCTCTATGGTCCAACACCATCACAGGCAGGAATTTGTGGAGGTGCTGGTGGAACTGGATGGGTTTTAAGGTCACTTCCCACCCAAACCATTCCAGGATTTCATGATCCCTGTTCCTCAAGATCAGTTCTAGGAATCTGTTCTTCAGTGGAGAAGTAAATTAAGGAACAAACTGGATGCTTTGAGTTATCCCAAGTTAAAGCCTTCCTGTCATATAAAAGAAGGATTTGAGTGCAAACAAAGTTGAGTACAAGGGAATTTTTGGGAGTGGATGGGAGTGACAGGGATAGAAGAGGAAGAGGAATGCTCTCAGTCAAGAATATATCCCAAATATTAAATTATGATGGATATTTGAGCCAGGATAGTGTGGAAATCTGCCCTTTGGATGCTGGGATCTTTCTGCAAGGAAAGTGAGTCCCAACTGGGATTTTCCCAGTGTCCTGCAGGGCAAGGGACACAGGGACAAAGCTCTGGAGTTGTAAAGCAGGTTCTCATGGCCTGGGGCTATTCCCAGCTGAATAATTCCATGGATGAGTTTTAAATTCCCTCCCAAGGCAAACCATTCCAGGATTCTGGGATTCTAAATCATAGAATCACGAAATATGTTTCTACAAATCAAATTATGATTTTATGAATCCATAAAAGTATGGGATATGATTCCAGGATTCTAAATGAGAGAATCATGCATTCTAGGATTCAATATCCTGAGTTGGAATAGACCCCCCCAAGGGTCATCCTGTCCAGTTCTGACTTTAGTGCTGGGTCTAATCTTTAATTGAATATTATGGACCAACATCTAACAGAGTTTACACTGGGCTGACACTCGGCTTCCCAGGAAAAATCCATTTTCCCTTAATTTCCCTTCCTTCCCACGCAGCTTGTGCCCAAAACGGGGAGCTGAGAGCAGGAACAAGGGGAGCAAGGAATAACAATTGTCTTAATGTGGAGAGAGAGAGAGAGAAGAGAAAAAAAGCCTCGTTCTCTCCATCCCGAAATAATAGACCCATTACTGTCCCCAATCCTCAATCCCCCTCCTCTCCCGGGAGAAGAATTGGTCACTGCACAGCTGTGGGAGAGGGATAAATATATTTATATATCCCAGAGAATCTGCCCTTCTCAATTGGGATGTGGGGCTGGACAATCCCTCATTGTGCCCTGGCTGGCCTGCAGCAGAAAGGCCCCACAGTTTGGGGCTGGCAGGGCCCCGGCGCTCCGAGAACTCGGAACTTCATGGACATTATTCCCAGCGGGCCCTTCTTTATTTGATTGGAGTCATTATGGGGTGGGAGGGGCGGGGGGGGGCGTTATTGGGGATTGTGGGAACATCTGGGGAGAACAAACCACAGCTGGGCCTTCCCCTGAGGGGGCAGGGGTTGGGGCTTGGGGTGGGATTTGGGGCTGGGTTTTGGTGATTTGGGGCTGGATTTGGGTGATTTGGGGCTGGATTTGGATGATTTAGGGATGGATTTGGTGGTAGGGGCAGGGGTTGGGGTTTGGGGTGAGGTTCGGTGATTTAGGGATGGATTTGGTGATTTTGGGGCTGGATTTGGATGATTTAGGGCTGGAGTTTAGTGATTTGCATCTGGTTTAGGGTGATTTGGGGCTGGATTTTGGTGATTTTGCAGCTGGATTTGGTGCTTGGGGCAAGTATAAGGTGATTTGGGGATGGTTTAAGGTAATTTGGAGCTGGATTTGGGTGATTTGAGAAATTTTGGTGGATTTAGGGCTGGATTCTAATGATTTGGGACTGGGTTTTGGTGGTTTGCAGCTGGATTTGGATGAGTTAGTGCTGGATTTGGTGTTTGGGGTGATTTGGGGCTGGATTTTGATGATTTGGGGTTGGATTTTGATGATTTGGGGCTGTTTTAGGGTGATCTGTGGCTGGATTCTGGTGATTTGCAGATGGTTTTGTGGTCTGTGGCTGGAATGTGAGGCTGGATTTTGGGGATTTCCTGGTTTTGCAATTTGTGCCTGGATTTCAGTGATTTGTGTCTCTTTTAAAAACTGGATTCCAGTGATTTGTGGCTGGTTTTGGAATTTCTGGGAGGATTTTGGTGGTTTGTGGTTGGATTTTGTGCCTCAGGGCTGGTTTTATGAACAGGTTTGCTGGTTTGTGGCTACATTTTTGTAATTTGTGGTGGGTTTGGTGTTTTGTGGCTGGGCTTTTGTAGTTTCTGGATGGATTTTGGTCGTTTGAGACTGGAGTTTTGATGGTTTGTGGCTCTTTTTTGGTGCCTTGTGAATTTGGGAACAGATTTGGGTGCTCTGGGGACAGATTTTGGTTCTTTGTGAGGGTTTTTGGTGCTTTGTGCACAAATTTTGGTGCTTTTTGAGGGTTTCTGCTGCTCTCTGAACAGATTTTGGTACTTTGTGACTGGGGGTTTTTTGGTGGTTTCTGGATGGATTTTGGTGGCTTTGGATATTTAGTGGCTTGTGGCCATATTTTAGTGCTTTGTGGCAGTTTTTGCGGTGGTATCTGGACAGTTTGGTAGTTTGTGCCTGGCTTTTTGTTTTGTTTTCTGGTGATTTGTGGCTCCTTTTTTCTTGGTGCTTTAGTAGGTGTTTTTGGGGGGCTTAGGGGCTGGTTTTGGGGGCTTAGGGACTGGATTTTGGGGCTTTAGTGGCTTGATTTTTTGGGGCTTAGGGGCTGTTTTGAGGGGTTTAGGGGCTGTTTTTTGGGGGGGTTTAGGTGCTGTTTTTGGAGGCTTGGGGGCTGGTTTATGGGGGCTTAGTAGCTGGTTTTTGGGGCTTAGGTGCTGGTTTTTGAGGGGCTTAGGGGCTGTTTTTTGATGCTTTAGTGGCTGGGGTTTTGGGGGCCTTTAGTGTCTCGTTTTCTGTGCTTTAATACCTGTTTCTCGGGGGCTTAGGGACTGGGGTTTTGGTGGCTCGCCACTGCTTTTTAGCGCTTGGCGACCGCATTTTTAGTTCGGAGGCTCCTCCCGGCACCTCGCGAGTGTTTTTAGGTGACTTTTTGGCAACCTCGGGACTCGCCGGCGTTGCCAAACCCCCTTGGCGGGGGTGCCCCGAGCGCGGCTCCGGGCGGAGGAGGGAGGAGCAGCGGGCGGGGAAGGGCAGGGAAAGAGGGAAAGAAGGGGAGGGAAAGAGGGAAAGAAGGGGAGGGAAAGAGGGAAAGAAGGGGAGGGCAGCAGGGAAAGAGGGAGGAGCGGCCGCAGCAGCCCAAGTCCGGGCAGCGCCGGGCGGACGCCGATGGGCATCGGGCGGGCGAGCTGGGCACGGGCACCGGGAGCCCGGCGCTGAGAGCGGGGCTCGCTCGGGGCTCGCACGGGGCTCGGACGGGGCTCGGACGGGGCTCGGGGGTCGCGGCTGAGCCCCCCCGGGCCGGGGCGATGCCCCCCTGCAGCCGCACGGACTGAGCCGGGGCCGGCCCGTGCATGGCCCAGCCATGGAGGTGGTGGACGAGACGGAGGCTCTGCAGCGCTTCTTTGAAGGTAAACGGGGGGCACCGCGATCCCGGGATTCCCAGCACCGATCCCGGGATTCCCAGCCCCGCTCTCCGGGGATGCCCCGGAGGCAGCACACCTTGCAATGGGCTGGGTGGGAAGGGAGCTTAAGGCTCATCCACCCTGCCCTGGGCAGGGACACCTTCACTAGCCCAGGTTGCCCCAAGCCCCGTCCGACCTGGCCTTGGATACTTCCGAGGATGCGGCAGCCACAGTTTCTCTGGGAAGCCAATTCCGGAGCCTCAGCACCCTCCCAGGGAGGAATTCCTTCCCAACATCCCGTCTAACCCTGTATTCTGGCAGTGGGAAGCCATTCCCCCTTGTCCTGTCACTCCAGGCCCTTTGCCAAAGTCCCTCTCCAGCTCTCCTGGAGTCCGTTTAAGCGCTGGAAGGGACTCCAAGGTCTCTCTGGAGCTTTCCCTTCTCCAGGCTAAACAATCCCAGCTCTCCCAGCCTGGCTCCATACCATCCTAGTAATGTCCAGCTCTGGAATGGCACAGATCCCTGTCCCAGGGCACAATCCAGGGGCAGCTGTGCATCCTCCAGTGCACACAGTGGGTGCCAAGCTGGATATCCAGGGAATTGTTTTGTGCCGTGTGTTTGTTCCTACTGCGACCCCAACAGGGACCTTGGAATGTCCCTCACCATCCTTGGAGCAGGCTCGTGGCTCTGGCTCTGTCCTGTGGATCCCAGATGTTTTCTGGAGCCTGGATCCTTGTGGACACCGCATGGCTGTGGATCACTCTCCTTCCCACCAGGGTGGAAAAGTGGCTGGGAAGAGAATTTGGCCTCTGTTGGATGAAATGTGGTTGCTCATGGCTGAGCTGGGATGTGTTGTTGGGAGCCTGATCCCGTTGTTGTTCCTGTTCCCTTCCCTGCTCTGCTCTTCCTTGTGGAGTGTTTGGTTCCTTCTCTTCCCCCATTGTTGCTTTGTTTCCCTCCCTTGTTTTCCAGGGGGTGCCTGCCAGGTTTGCCACGGGCTGTGTCCTTTGGGATGAGCCCCTGGCACATGGATGTGCTGCTTGGGGGAATAACGTGCCCATCCTGGCGAGGCTTCGTTGGCCCCACAGGTTCTGGGGTGGATCCCCATCCATGGGTCAGCTCTGGAGCTGGGGTCCCCTTTGGAGCAGTGGGATGGTGCAGTGAGTCCCCAGAGGCAGCTGGGGCAGGACAATGATGTCCCTGTGGATTCTTTGGCTGGTAGAAGGATTTATCCTGGGAAGTGGGAGCAGAAGATGCTCTTGGGAGTGAGTGGAAGCTCGAGCTGCTTCTTCCTTGCTTCCCTCTCTCCCAGCATCCATATGATCCCTCAGCAGGGCATCTCTTCTTCAAAGGAAAAAGCACCCCCTGTTATTTCCAGCCATGATCCCAGATTTCCAGGAGCCCCAGGATTAGTGAGGATGGGAAGCCTCACCACGAGGGCTCTTATCGGCCACTCCCAGCCCATGTTCCCTGCAGCTTTCTGGGATTTCCTTTGCTTTTAGGATTTTGCTTGGGCCAAACTCCTAAATCCTCCTCTCCCACTTCCCATCTTGGGGGTGCTGAGCACCTCCCAGGAGTCCTGCACAGCTCTGGCTCAGCATCCCAATGTTATTCATGGAGCAGCTCTCTGTCTCTTCAGCTGGAACCTGGAATTTCTCCCTCTCCCCAGAGCATCTCTATTATAACGTGGAGATTTCCTTCTTTTACTGTTTCCCTGTTCTTTCTGGGTGCTGGGGTAATCCTGCTCGAGCAAGATGACTCCAGGAGATCCCTGACAACCTCAGCCATCTGGGGATTCTTCCTCTCTTATTTCTTCCTTTCTTTCTTTTTCTTTTTTCTTCTTTTTTCCCCTGTTTCCTCCTCCTCTCTCCCTTTCCCTTTTTCCTCCTCCTCTCTCCCTTTCCCTTTTTCCTCCTCTTCTCTCCCTTTATCTCCTTCTCCTTCTTTCTTTTTCTCTTGAACCAAAACCATCCTGTCCCTGTGAAAATCCAGGATCAAGGAAACTGTGCTTGAAGGGTATTTCTTACTCTCAGCCTTCTTAAAATCTCTCTGAGCCAGATATTCCACGGAGCACGACTTTGTTTGGGCAGCTCAGTCTTTTTCCCACTCTTATTCCAGAGCATCTGTTCCAACACAGAGCTGGAGGGGGAGAAGGGAAGAGAAGAAAGTTTTACCACCAGGAATTGCTGCTCAGTTTTTCCCTCTTGTGCCCAGCTTAATTGTGGTGCTCCAAGGAATTCTGAGGCCAAACTGATCCTCTGTTTTTTGGGAGTGAAGGTCAGAGCCTTAAATCACGGCATGGAGTTGGATTTACTCTGGAATCTGGCCCTCCTGAGGAATTAATGGTTTTTGGATGTGGTAAACAATTGATCTGTTGGAATTTAATAATTTACAGGAATAAATTAATTATCCCATCGCTCCTTTAAAATTTATCACTGATTCTCATCATAAGGAAATAATTTTCCAACCTATTTTTGTCTTGGAGTGAAATATTTTCTTCTTCTCATGGATCATCTCATCCCTGAAGAGATTTCTTCCTGCAGGCAGAGAACCCTGGAATAATTTGGGAATTCTCATTCTTTTGCTTGACTCTGCTTTTCCCAGGATCTGAGCCTGCTGTAAGCAATCCCAGAAAATTTAAGAGGAATCCCTGAGCCCTTGGAATTTCCCAGTGTCAGACAAGGATTAACTGGACTCCTTGTTTGGGACTAGGGGCTGTGCTGGTGGAGCTGGGGAAGAATCAGTGCCTGTGGTCATTCCAAATCCTGGAATTTGGCTGGTCCCATCTGCAGAACGAGGCTTGTTTTGGGAAACAAGTGCTCCCAAAATCTCAAGTGTGATTGGTGCCTCTGGTTTTCTCGGCTGTAAGAGATGGACCTGGATTTTCCTAAATTTTCCTTGGTGTTTGCTCAGGTTTCCCTGGGTTTCCTTTGTTTCCCTGGGTGTCCTTGTTTCCTAGGGTATCCTTGTTTTCCTGGATATCCTTATTTCCTTCTGTATTTTTGTTTCCTAGGGTATCCTTGTTTTCCTGGATGTATTATTTCCATGGATGTCTTTGTTTCCTGGGTACCCTTTGTTCTGGGTATCGTTGTATCCCTAGACATCCTTGTTTCCCTGGATATATTTACTTCCATGGATATCCTTTTTTTCCCAGATATCCTTATTTCCCTGGAATATGGCTGTCTGCTCTTTGAGGGTGAGATCTGAGGCGTGTGAGGGTAGAGAAGCAGAGAAATAATGGGAAAGATCCCAAACTTTGCTCTGATATTTGGGATGGGCTAGGGAAAAGTCTCTGAGGGAAAAGATGCATTGGGAATAACTTCACTGCTTCCTGGGATGAAGGTGCTGGGAATGCAATCCTGGCCTTCCTTATTGAGTGTCCTCAAGCTGGGCTTCTCCTGTGTTAGGAAGATTCTTCTTGTCCTCAGGCACATGGTGGAATTTTTGGGATTGGATTTGGATGATCCTCATGGATCATCCTTTCCCACTCAGGAATCGTCCCAAACTCTGATCCGTGTGTTTGGAGCTGCCCAGGACCATCCTGCTGAGGAGAGCTCAGGCAAAAATCCTGGAGCAGTGAACGTGGGATGCCAGGGGGGTCTGGCAGGGGAGGGAAAGAAGATTTCCATGGGTTTGGGGAGTGCTCCTGGAGCGTTTGTGTTTGGATTCAAAGGAAAAGGAGGGAGTTGACAGCGTCTGACCCTTGGCTGGCATCCTGCTCCCAACCTTTCCCTTGCTCCCGCCCGCCCCTGCCTCAGGGAAACGCTTACGCCACAGCTCAGCTATTTGGGATCCCTCTCCCGGCTAATTTACGAGATAAGGGCTTGGGGAAGAATGTACAGCAGGAAAGATGTGCGGAGTGGGGCTGGCGGGGGCTGGGAAACGGGAATTCGGGAAAGGAACAGAGGAAGGAGAGCGAGCGCTGGAAATTGAGCAGGTTTGGGGGTCGAGGTGGAGCTGGGAAAAACAAGAGTTGGTTCAGCAGAAGGGGGAGATTTCCATGAAGGTTATCCAACAGGTTTTCATGGAGCACAAGTGGCTGGAACGCTGGGAATATTGTCTGTGGAGCAGCCGTGCGTGCACAGGAATCTCTGAGCTCGGAGTGACCAGGAATGGATGGTTTTGGGAATGTTTGGATATGTGTGATCATGGAATCCCAGAATGGTTTGGGTGGGAAGGACCTTAAGGATCATCCAGTCCCACATGGGCAGGGACATCTTCCACTGTCCCAGGTTGCTCCAATCCCGATCCAACCTTGGACATTCCAGAGATGGGCAGCCAGAGCTTCCCTGGGAAGTCAATTCCAGGGCCTCACCACCCTCCCAGGGAAGGATTTCTTCCCAATATCCCATCTAAACCCTCCCCCTGTCCTCCACAACTTCTCTGGACAGCCTGTTCCCATGTTCCTGGTGGTGTTAACACTCCTGGTGATTTTGATTATGGAGCACTTGGTGCCTGTGAGGAGGAAGTGGTGCCCTGCAGGAAGAGGTCTGGAGCAGTTCCCTGTTTTCCTTGGATGAAGAATACTGGAGCTGAGGCAGTGAGGTGACCCCAGGACAGCTGGGATTGCCCCTTGTCCCCCGTGCTGGGCCATAAGGGGGATTTGGTGGTGGTGGGAATGAGTGGAGAAGGAATTCTCTGGTCAGACTGCTGCTGGAGTAAACCAGCGTATCCATGAGAATCCAGGGACTGCTCCCAGATCTTCCCTTACTTTGGGATGTCTTGAAGCTGCAAACTGGGAGCAGAAAGGGCAGGAGGGCAGTGGAGCATGAGGGGTCTGTCCTGATGTCCTGGGCTTGATGTAGAAATGCAACTACACGGATCAGCACATCACTTTTCATGGAATGCCTTTAAAAAATGGCTCTTATGGGGCGTCCTGCTCACTCGTCACCCACTGCCTGCCCCCAAATCCATTTCCAAGGCTTGATGCTGGAGAGAGCTTTTCCCACGCGGAGCTGCTGTGGCAGGGGGAGAACACCAGCACCTTGGAAAAGCCCAGCCCGATC